GCAATCTAACCACCAATCTGAAGCACCTAAATCTTTGCATCGTAGTTCGAAGAGGCCAGAAGAGAGGCATAAAAAGCATTAATAAGAGCGTCGCTATGGTCCCTAATCAGACCCCCACCTCCGGTGGCTCCGGTAAGTCGGTCAAAGAATTCGTCAGTGTTTAGCTTAACCCAAGGAGGCTCAGGTCTCAGCCAAAAAATAGCTCTGGGGCGTGGGCGCTGGACAGGCGTCACTAGAGATGGTGCAAAATATTGGGGTGGCGTGCAACTTGTCCAGTCTCCGGAGTGAGTCTACTTAGAGCAGTGAGGAGAGATATATGTCTGTCAACCTGCAAAATAATATGAGAACACAAAATAGTAAAATCCCTATGCTTCGCATTATTCCTTTCTGTCCAGGTGGAGCAAAGGATCAGACAAGGAATAAGGAAGCCCACGTGTCTATCGTGTGTGCTCTGTGTGAAAAAAACTCAGAAGTTCAAAGAAGTTATCTGTGGTGGGTAGGGGTATACGTGTATAACTGGAGTGATGCTCCCACACTCTCCTCACAGAATCGCTCTCAAGAAACAAAAGGCTAAAGGACTCGGTCTGAAAAACTCCAGTCTCAGAACAACAATAGCACCATGAAGGGAAGAAGAACCCCCTTGTTTTCATCACAATATCAATCGGTAGGAGGCGCAAAAGAAGGCTCCAAATGAAACCAGAGATGGTCGGGGTAAGTAGGTCAGTCCAAATAGCCCCAAAGAGAAGGTTAGGCCGGCCTCCCAGTCGTACTTCCCTCCAAGCCGAGGTCGTAGAGAATGCACCTGAAGATGTAAGTCTCCACCTCATACCGTCCAAAGCGTCCTCCGAGATGGGTATCTGCTGGATCTCATCTATCTCATGGTCACTGAAACACGCTCCACGACCCAAAGTCGTCTCTAACCTATCCATATCACATCCCCAATCCATCCACAGGTCCTTCACCTGCAGAAAGGGAAGGTGGATGACATGTCTAGTACTTGAAAAGAAGCCATCACCAAACCACCACTCATCCCAAAAGTTAATGTCCCCCTCACTTAGAGTCCATAAAATGTGCTTCTAAGTAGGTCTACCAACAATGGTGAGATGCCTCCACTGACGGTTATCGCGGACGGTGGTCGTCACGATACAGGGGTAGGCAGCGCCTCTAGAACAGCACTTCTAACGAAGATACATGGCCCAAAGGGAATTTTCATCCCTAAAGCGCCACCACATCTTATAAGAGAATGTAGTGACGACGCCCAAAAATCATCTGATCCTGAGGCCCCCCTTAGAGAAGGGGTGACAAACGGAGTCCCACTTCACCCAGTGGACATGTCTTTTTTCTCTGGGAGCCTTCCCCATGCCCCCAAAATATCGAGCCAAGATCTGATCTAGCTCGTGAATCGTGGACTGGTAGGGGTCGAGGACCATAAGAAGGTGAAGCGGAACGGCGCAGAGGGTTCTCTTGATTAGAGCAAGCCTCCCCCTAAAAGATAGATGTCTGTGAGACCAACCGGAGATCCATTCAATTATCCTCTGCCTGAGGTCTATAAAGAGGTTATGCGATAGGTGGCCTTATACAGGGGGGCACCAAGGAAGGTGATAAGGAGGTCTCCACGTGCAAAGCCAATGCGCTCATGGACCCAATGGTCCCACTGGTCTGCAATGTGATCATCTAGGGTGAAAGTGTCCTTTTGCACAATGATAAGTTGACCACAAAACGAGCTATAGTGCCTCAAGAGACGCATAAGCTCAACAAGTCCATTATTATTTGCACGAGTGAAGATAATAATGTCATCCACATAGGAAAGGTATGAGATCGGGTGACCATAGCCACGTGTGCTATAGGTCATCCTTGGAAAATCATGAATGATGCCGTCAAGGCAACGAGATAGGTAGTATGCCGCCAAGACAAAAGTGAAGGGGACAAAGGATCCCCCTACCGAAGACCACGGGTGGAATATAATATAACCTTTTATCTCATGAAAACTTTACTCACAATTTCTCAAAATTATGAGATAATTTATGCATGAACCTTAAACCTTCGATTCCTTATCTTATAAAATAATAGAAGGTGATCGAATACAATACCTCCTTCAAAGAATTTATAGAAGGAACGAAGGAGATCAGCACTAAGGGCCTCAGACGTTGGAATCGACTTCGACTTCCTTCCTGCTCGCTCGCGGCTGCTCAACTCACGACACTCCTCGAACACGGCTGCTTGATGACGATCACTGGCGGCTATGCGCTACTTGTCCGCGGTGAAAAAGGAAATATTTATGGCGATCGAAGGCTGGGGTTTAAGGGGTTGATGACGATATATAAATCGGCTTTGTGGCGTGAAGAGATTCTGAAAAAAAATGAGGCTGCGCGAATGGATACAGGAAGAAAAAAAATACCTATCCCTTGCTTTGTGAGAAAGGAATTTAAAAGGGATGGAAATAAATTAAATTATCCCACTCATAATAGGTCTATTAGAACGTGCAAAATGAGTTGGACATTCAACACTTAAAGGTTGATTTCAATCTCTTAAAAGCATACCAAAATACTTGGTATCCATTTGATTTTAGAGAAAATTACTCCTCGTACGACAACTTTCAAAAGTTATATTAAAAAAACAACGAACTTATAAATTTTTTCACATCTACGAAAAATAAGAGAATTGCTACATTATCCGAAGAAGATGATATGATTTTATAATTAATAATGTATATTAAAGGTGGCTTATTTCTCATCTATCTCGAGAATCGTGCCACAGTGATTTCCTTCCTTCGAAAAGTACTTTTTCAATTTCTGAAAATCTTATTTGCACGAAGAAAAATAAAAGCACCCAAAACCCTATATGCCCAAATCACCAGAAACCTCACAACTCGATTTTTTTTAACTGGATTGTCCATCGCAAAGAAGAGCGTCGAGTCAACTGTCTCGAAAAGTCCTGATCAAGGTCGCGGAATCGTTCGAGTTTGTGAAACCGCAAGATGAAACCTTTATGTAAATGAAAAAACATGGAAAAAAAGAGTCAGTATGAAAAAAAAAAAAAAAATCCAAAAGATCTGCAACAGGATCCGTGTGAATGATGAGGTGAAGAAAAAATCAACAACATACCTGATGATATCGATGATTTTCAAACATATTTCAGTCAAAATGGAGTATGTTAGATGTCTAATTTCAGTCCATTTTTCTGTTGAAATAGAGTATTTTGGACGCTCTTTTGGGTTATTTTGACTACACAATAACTCCCTTTTTTTTGTATATTTTTATGTATTCAGAATAAGATAAACATACAATTTCATGTTTATCTTTCGTATATATAATTCATAGATAAACATTTTTCTGAATTTAGCCTTGTATCGTTAGTTACACTATTCCATTGTTTTTTTATTTATAAACGTGACATAAATTTCAAAATGGTATATATAAACCAACAATATACAAACAATATACGTTGTTTATAAACATGACATAAACTTCAAAATAGTGTACATAAACAAAAAATATACAGACAATATACATTATTTATAAACATGACATAAACTTCAAAATGGTATATATGAACCAACAATATACAAACAATATACAAGTTTTCAGTCTGAGGATGTAATGCGCACTAACGAAAAAAATTAAAAAAGAAAAAAAAATGTGATAGACTCGTGATAAACTGTTTATAAATCTATTTATACACACTACGTCATAAAATTAATTATTTCAGCCATTAGGCGAGAAGTATGTCATGGAATTTATTATTCCAGCCTGTGTGTGTGAGAGAAAAGGAGAGAGAGGGGAGGGGATGTGGAAGAAAACTGGTGGGATGTGTTACGTTACTTATTATAAAGAGTGTAGAGTTTTTTTAGGAGCTATTTTTTAAACTGATTTATTAACCGTTTAATATAAATAATAATACCTAAAAAACATAGATATGATATTAAGTTTTAATTTTCATGATAATGGAAGAATGAAGCGCGCTAATCGTTTATGTGTAAATTAGTCTTGATTTTAATCAAATAAAATTGGAGTCATCAAGTTAACAAAAGGACCGATTAAACTGATCAATAAAGCTTAATTATATCGCTTAATGGGCTAAAAATAATTGCTAATCCTTTGGTCTCCACTAATAATAAAAAGTCGAGAATAAGTAAAATTGATTAAACTGATCAATAAAGCTCAATTATATCGCTTAATGGGCTAAAAATAATTGCTAATCCTTTGGTCTCCACTAATAATAAAAAGTCGAGAACAAGTAAAATTGACGGTATCTGAAAGGGACTAAAATAGTGATCGGCATTCGCTTAACCGAAAATTATAATATATTCGCGGCTTATCTCTAATTAATTTAAGTAGACTAAAATGTCTATATACGTTATCTTACTCAAATGATTAAATAGACACGAACATCTAATTAATCCGAACCTGTCGAGATTAAAAATCTTCAAAAATAATATGCAACCAACTACATAAATAAAATAAATAATGGAGATGTCTGTTGTTATTAGATCGGGGCGCTACATTTATAGATGAATATTTCTATAGTTTTAGTAGTGTACTAGTGTCTTACCATTAATATGAAACAGTACAAATTCTAAATTGCTGATCAATAAGAATTTGGTAAAAGGGGATTACTTATGCAAGCTTCTTAATTATAGAGACTACTTTTGAAGATAACCAGCTAAAATTTTGTCAGATGCAGTAAAATTGTTGCAGCAAGCAAAACCATGAAGTTTTTAAGCAGTAAAACTATAACATGTAAGACCTTCAAGCTTCCTGATATTGCGAACCCATGAAAAATATTTATCATAAGGAATATTGAGAGAGATTCAACACAAAATGGTTAAAACCTAAAAGACAAGGATCCTTGAATTAAAGAGCAACAACCAAAAGCAAACAACCAAAAGCAGTCCATATGATTTTAAGAACATAGCATGCACATTATTATTCTTCATCATAAAACAGAGGAGAAAGAAAGACTAAACCAAAGTGTGCCTTGTTTTTTCGACTGCCAGAACACTAGATAGTAAAATTATTAAGCATGTGAGAAAGCACAATGGGACTTCTGACCGTGTGCTTGCCACCCTCATCTATCCAAGAGAGAGAACCGTGTAGGGCATGAGCTGTAGGTGGTGGTACCTTGTAGTGAATGGTCAAATTATAGCTTCCCTTGTCATATTTGTTGTTGAAAATCAATCTCCGTGGCCAAACTTGAATGTTAGTGTTATTGGGGGCATCTACCTTGGCATGGAATACGACTGGGTTTTTACCATCGCCCACGTATGTAACCGTTCTTTGAAATTCCTTGGTCAACATCTTGCCCTGGTGGTTAGAAGGATAAAGAGCAATGAAGGACGGATAGTTGAGGTCGGACGATGGGATTGAGCTGTTGTAGTCGGATCTCACAATGGTCTTAATTTGCATCCTGGTGAGATTCATGGAGCAGAGGTAACTAACATACTCCTGTCGGGATAAGTCATAAACCAGTCCCGGGTCGAGCGCCCGATTTGGGTTGACTTGCCCGGCCCCCATGGCAAGCGGGTCGGCATAGGCACCAGAACTCGCGTCTCGAATTCTGCTCCCGGTATTGTCGAGAGGGTTGGCCGTAGTGATGATGGCAGATCGTATTGCTGCTGGGCTCCACTCGGGGTGCGCGCCTCTCAAGAGTGCCGCAATGCCGGAAATGTGGGGGCAGGACATGGACGTGCCAGAGGCGAGCGCGAAATCGCTGCTCAGATCGATGCTACTCCCGATGGAAGCCGTCATCACATTTGGATTCCATGAGGCCAGCACGAGGGTCCCCGGGGCCATGATGTCCGGTTTGAGGATGCCCGGGCAGCTCCAGGAGGGGCCCCTTGACGTGTACGA